TGGGGAGATTGCGGTTGATCAACAGGCTCCCGCCCCTCCTCTCGAGATATGGGGAGATATGGGGAGAGATGGGGAGAGATGGGGAGATTGCGGTTGATCAACAGGCTCCCGCCCCTCCTCTCGAGATATGGGGAGAGATGGGGAGATATGGGGAGAGATGGGGAGATATGGGGAGAGATGGGGAGATTGCGGTTGATCAACAGGCTCCCGCCCCTCCTCTCGAGATATGGGGAGATATGGGGAGATATGGGGAGAGATGGGGAGATTGCGGTTGATCAACAGGCTCCCGCCCCTCCTCTCGAGATATGGGGAGATATGGGGAGATATGGGGAGAGATGGGGAGATTGCGGTTGATCAACAGGCTCCCGCCCCTCCTCTCGAGATATGGGGAGAGATGGGGAGATTGCGGTTGATTAACAGGCTCCCGCCCCTCCTCTCGATCGGCGGCGGCGCTCGCGATGGGCTAAGGCTGCTCGCCTCGCGGCAGCCGCAGCACCGCTCAGGACTGACTCGCCAGTCTCGCCGGCGACTCCCTTCCTTAGGCTGATCGTCGCGCGGCAGCCGCCCTACTCTGGCATGCCTGCTCGGCGAGGCGTCGCGCTGTTGTTTGGCGAGGCGCGAGACACTTCCTGGACACCTCCTCGACACTGCTGCTGGACACTTCCTGGACACTTCCAAGACACCTCCTAGACACCTCCCAGACACCTCCCAGACACGTCCCAGACACCTCCCAGACACCTCCCAGACACGTCCCAGACACCTCCCAGACACGTCCCAGACACCTCCCAGACACCTCCTCCTAGACACTCCCACAGACAGTTCCTACTGCTGCTGTTTTGGCGTGGCGCGAGACAACGCCACGCCGCCGCCGCAGCGGGCACTTGTTTAGTGGTGGACGTGTTGCGTCCAGGCGCGAGGTAGCGTCGCGCCGCCGCAGCTAGCGACGCTGACGCGCCTGAACGACGCGATGAACGGGTGGGCTAACTGGTTGGCGACGGTGGAGGCGGAGGCGGTGGCCGCCGTGCAAGCCGCGCCGGAGCCCGGTGCGCCCGCTGCCATCCCGGACCCGATGATCTGAACCCTCACCCTGACTCTGACCCTGAACCCTGACCCTGACCCTGACCCTGACCCTGACCCTGACCCTAGCCCTGATCCTGACCCTTGACCCTGACCCTGACCCTGACCCTGACCCTGACCCTGACCCTTGACCCTAACCCTGACCCTGACCCTAACCCTAACCCTGACCCTAACCCTGACCCTGACTCTAACCCCTGTCCCTGACACGAGGCACGCCCGCCGCCGGCCCCGACTTGCTCGGCATGCTCCGGCACGTCGGCCTGCCCGTCGACGACCTTCTCCCGCCCGCCACGCCAAACACGCCTGCGGCCGCGGCGACGCCGAGGACGCCACTCAGGCCAGACAGCAGCGGGCCAGACAGCAGCGGGCCAGGCGGCAGCGGGCCAGGCGGCAGCGGGCCAGGCGGCAGCGGGCCAGGGGGTAGCGGCAGCAGCCCTGCCCCTTGTGGCACGGGCGACGCTTGGGCCGTCGCGGAGCCGAGCTCGCCGCCGCCGCCGCCGCCGCCGCGGACTCCTCCTCCCCCTCCGCCCTTCCACGCGGCTGCGCCGGGGCGGCCGTCCTACTTGCCCGGGGCAGCGCGCCCGCTCCGCTGCGCGGCAGCGCACGCGTCTCTCGAGGTGCGTGAGGAGCACGGCGGCGGCAGCACCGAGCGATTCGCCCGTGAGCTAAGCTGCGCGCACGTGTCCCCTCGAGGTCGGCGCGAGCCACGCCGCGGTCTGCTTGCTGCTCTCCTCCTCGCGCGGCGCTGCCCCGCTGCTCGAGGTCCAGCTGAGCCCCGGCTCCGACGGCACGCCTCCCGCCCAGTCCTACTCCCCCATGTCCGCGACATGTCCGCGACATGTCCGCGACATGTCCGCGACATGTCCGCGACATGTCCCTCAGGCGACGGCACGCCTCCCGCCCAGTCCTACTCCCCCCTCGGGGGCGGCGCCGCACGGGACGGCGCGCGAGCCGCGCGACGCGTCCACGCCGTGTTGCACACGCGTCCGCGCGACATGTGCATGCACATGTCCCGGACATGTCCCTCAGGCGCCGGCGCGGCGTGTCCGGCGGCCGGGGCGCGTCCTTCGACGCGTCCCGGGACGCGTCCCTCGCCGCCGCCGGAGCCGGGGCAAGGGATGGGGCGGGGCTTGAAGGCGGGCTGGGGCGTGCGTGTGTGCCGGCGCGCCGGCGCGGAAGGCGGCTCGTCGCTGCAGCTCACTGTCGGGGGCGTCGCCGTCTTTGACGAGCGCGGGAGCCAGCCGCCGCTGGGGCGACATCCGCGCCCCGCCGCGCCTACCGCGCCGACGGCCGAGGCCGAGCCGGCCGAGGCCCCGTCGTCGCCGCCCCCCTCTGACGCGCGCGCGCGGGCGGCGCCTCCCCACTCGCAGCCGCGCTCCTCCCGCGACTCTCTCTGGCCGCGCCGCCGCGTGGTTGGCCGCACAGCGCCGCAAGGCCCGGCGGGCGAGGAGACTCTTGACGGCGCCGCCGGCGCGCTGGCCCCCGGGCAGGTAGAGCACGCCTCGTGTGCGCCCTCTCTGAGCCCTCTCTGGACGTGTACGCTGCAGGGCCGCTGCCCCCGATGCTCGAGCTCGACGCGGAGAGCGGAGGCGCGCAGAGCGGAGGGTGCGACTCGGTGCGGGTGCGGCTCGCGCTGCGGGCGTGCTGTGAAGAGACGCTGTGAAGAGGCAGCTGTGAAGAGGCAGCTGTGAACAGGTGCGGCTCGCGCTGCGGGCGTGCTCGCTGGCGGCGGAGGGCGCGCCCGTTCCGGGCGGGCGGGCGGGTGGCTGCAGAGACCTCTTTTCCGCGAGCCTCCTGGCGCTGTCTGCGTAGGCGAGCTCCTCAGCCTCGGGCAATCTCGGGCAATCTCGGGCAATCTTGGGCAATCTCGGGCAATCTCGGGCAATCTCGGGCAATCTCGGGCAATCTCGGGCAATCTCGGGCAATCTCGGGCAATCTCGGGCAGTCTCGGGTAGTCTCGGGTAATCTGCGCAGGCGAGCTCCTCAGCCCGGTGGCGCAGTGGTGGTCCGCCGCGTTGGAGGCGGCGGCGGAGGCGGAGGCGGAGGCGGAGGAGGTCGTCGCGGCGGACGCTGGGGTCGGGCGCACTGCAGTGGGAGGAGGAGGCGCCAGCACAGTGGCCGATGTGGCGGAGGCGTCCCTTCGTCGACACCGCACTCGGCTCGCCGCCCGCCGCTCTCCCTCTTCCGTCGCCCGCCGCTCGCCCTCCGAGGCGACGCGTGGCAGCCGAGATTGCTCGAGATTGCTCGAGATTGCTCGAGATTGCTCGAGATGGCTCGAGATGGCTCGAGATGGCTCGAGATGGCTCGAGATGGCTCGAGATTGCTCGAGATGGCTCGAGATGGCTCGAGATGACCCTAGCGACCCGTCATTTCTCAAGATGAGCCGAAGATCAGCCCAAATTAGCCCGAGATCACCCCGAAGATGAGCCCCAAAATGAACCCGATTTTGGCGGCGCCGTAACCCCCGGGGGAAAAAATTCCCCCCCCCTTAAGAAGATTATTGAAACCTCCCCCTTGCCCCTCTAGGGACAGGAGCCTTTTTATGAGGGCCCCCCCCCGCCGACAATGGTAGAGGTCGGTTGTTTTAACCCCCCCCTTTGGCCCGCCTTTGGTATTTCCTCCCCTATTAGAGAGCCCGCCCTTTGCCGCCCCTCTTTTACGGTTGTTACCCCCCCCCCCCCTCCTTTGCCCGCCTAGCTGGTTGCTGGTTGATCCTTATGGCTGGAGTGATTTGTAGGAGTGGGCCTCCCCCTTCCCCCCTCCCCTCCCCCTCGCGCGCGCGCCTAGTGAACGCTTCGTCAATCCAATGAGCAGCACGGCCCGTAGCATCGGCCCACTCAACGATCGCCATACACCCGCACGCCTAGGCCTCACGCCCGTCCGCCGCTCCTCGCACCGCCCCTCCCTCGCCGCCGGCGGCGGCGCCGCCCGCTCCCGCCGCCGCGCCGCACCCGCGCCGGACGGTCCCGGCGCGAGGTGCGCGCACCCAAGCCACGCCACGTCGGGCCACTACCTTACCGACCCGCGCCGCGCCGCGCTTGTGCTGGGCGGGCGGGAGCTGCAGCTGTCCGTGCTGCTGCAGGACATCGCATCTCGGGACACCTCGGGTCATCTCGGGCCACCTCGGGTAATCTCGGGTCACCTCGGGTCACCTCGGGTCACCTCGGGTAATCTTGGGCAATCTCGAGTCACCTCGGGGCATCTCGGGGCACCTCGGGGCATCTCGGGGCATCTCGGGGCATCTCGGGGCACCTCGGGGCATCGCGGGTAGTGAGCTGCAGTTGTCCGTGCTGCTGCAGGACATCGCCGTGGCGCTGCCGCCGCGCGCGCGCACGGACGACGACGGTTGGACCCTCCGCCGCTACGACTACTGGCTGGTATCCATTGTTCAAACGGCGAGTTGTTGCACCGCAGGTTGGAGCCTCCGCTGCGCGCTCAGCCACGCCTCCCTCCGGCTCGACTCGACTCCGTGGATGGAGCAGGCTCCGAGATTAAGAGAGGGTCCGAGATCGCCCGAGATGACCCGAGATGACCCGAGATCACCCGAGATGACCAGAGATCACCCGAGATCACCCGAGATGACCAGAGATGACCCGAGATCACCCGAGATCACCCGAGATCGCGACTTTACTCCGTGGGTGGAGCAGGCTGCCTTTGAGGCGAGCGCGCGCGTGGACGGAGGCCGGTGGCGGCATGTGTGGCGGCCTCGGCCGGCGGTGCACGCCTTCTCCCCCCTCCTCTCGGGCGGGGCGCACACGCTGCGCTACCTGTGCACCATCGCCGACGCGCCGCGCCAGCCGTGCGGCGTGAGGCGGCAGGGCGGGCGGGGGGGAGGCGAGGGGCGACACGGGCAGCGGTGCGTGTCGCTGTCTGCCGTGCACCAGCATGCTGGCAGGCCGGGGGCGGGCGGCGGCGGTGGCCGAATGCCTTGCGTGCGCGACGTCGAGGTTATCCGACATTATCCGAGATTATCCGAGATTATCCGAATGCCTTGCGTGTGCGACGTCGCCTTGCGTGTTCGGCGCAAGGAGTCTAGCGCGCCACAGCTAGACTCCTCCGTTGATGGTGCTCACTGATGATGACCTCGAGGTGGACGTCACGGCGCTCCAGCTCAACGCGTCGCCGTCGGAGGCGCGCGAGGCGTCTAGCAGCTCTCTTGCTGTGCGCCACCGCCAGGGAGTCAGTCGATTGTTCATCAGGCGCACGAGGCAGTGCAGCTCGTGACACGGCTCGCCGCGGCGCTGCTCGCACCGACGCCTTCCTCGACCTCTCCTGGACGCTTCCTGGCACTTTCCTCTCGTAGGCTCGCCGAGGCGCTCCTCGCCGCGACGCCCTGCCCCCGCACGGCGGCCTCCTCCGGCACCGCCTCGAGCCGGCGCCCTCTTTTCTTTCTCACATCTTCTTTTGTTCCTCCGCGCCGGGCCTTCCGGCGCGAAGGCGCGCTGTTCACACCGTCGACGTGTGAACAGGTCCCGCTCAACGACGGCGAGCCGCTTCTCTCCCTCGCCGGTGTACAGCCCGAACTTGCGAGGAGGCAGCGGAGGCAGCGGCGGCGGCAGCGGCGGCAGCGGCGGCAGCGGCGGCAGCGGCGGCAGTTGCGGCAGCTGCGGCAGCTGCGGCAGCTGCAGCAGTGCAGACAGCGACGGCGCGGAGGATTGGGACCCTTCCGTGCGCCAGTCTCGGGCAATCTCGGGCAATCTCGGGCAATGACTGACCAGGCGCGGACGGCTCGGACCCTTCCTCACGGCTGCTGCTGCTGCCGACGGTCTGGGCTGGGCCTGTGGCCGGCGACGTCTGCTCCTTTGAGTTTGGAAGGGCTGCGGGGTGGCCCCGTAGGCGGGGCCGGCCTCGTGGCTGGCGACACCGCAGCGCGGCCACATCCGGCTCCGCTCTGGCGAGCAGCGGCAGCGGGCGTCGATGGCTCGCATACACGGCGCGATGATGCGGCGAGTGATGCAGCGGCGGCGCTCCCGGGTCGCTCTTGGCGGCGAGGGCGGCGGCGGCGGCGGAGGCGGCGGCGGCGCGGGCGGCGGCGGCGCGGGCGGCGGCGGCGAGATGGGCGCAGCCGGCACAGCCTCCGATGGCTGCGCTGCGGCCGGTGCTGCTGCCGCCGCCGCCGCCGCCGCGCCCGAGAGCGATCTGGCGCTGACGACGCGGATACACGCGCGCGCGGGTACGCTCCGGCTCGCGCTGCTGCCGGATGGGCGCCGGTGGAGCGCGGCGCCGCTCCTGTCGCTCTCGTTGTCGGCGGGGAGCGGCAAGGCGACGCTGCTGCAGCGGCGCAACGCCGGCGCGTCGGCGTCGTCCCTGCGCGCGGTGTGGGACGCGGAGAAGCTGAAACCAAGCCACGCGTTCCTGCATCCCTTCTTCGAAGACTTGATTGACTCCTTGCAGGTGTGGGACGCTGACGAGCTCAACGCGACCGTCGCGGTCGGGCTGGCAGCGGAGGCGTTCGGCCTCAGCCTGTCCTTAGACTCTCGTCCTTAGACTCTCTGTCCTTAGATGGGCCTCGTGAACCGCTTGTGTGAACAGCGTCTCTTCACAGCCGCACCTGCGAGCAGGTCTTCAACCCCTCCCTCTCCGAGACCGAGCCGTTGCTCGAGCCATGGCGCGTGACCGCCGCGGTGGCCAAGCAGCCAAACGAGCGTTTCTCGTCGGTGCGCGTCGAAGCGTCGCCGCTCCACCTCAACGTCACCCCCGCCCTGCTCGCTCTGCAGCCCCACATCGCCGCCGTCGCCGGCGGCGGCGTGTCCGCGTCGCGCCCCGCCGCCCTCTCCACCTCCTCCCCGCCGCTGCTCGTGCGCAACCGGTCGGGCGTGCCTCTGCGCGCCGCGCTGCACGGCGACCGCCACCGCTTCCCCTCCTCCGCGGCGGTTCACGCGAGCTCGTCCGAGAGCGGTGCCTCGAGCGACCCCCTCCGACAGGCGCCTACTCCGCGCGTCAGCACCACCAGCGAATGGAGTGTGAACGAATCAGGCTTCTCCGCCAGCGGCCTCCCCGCCGCCGAAGCGCCGCCGCGGGCGCCGCTAGTCGAGGCGGAGTGGCAGACCCTCCCTCCGGAGCCGCTAGCCGGCGGCGCTCCTGCAGCGGGCGGCGCGGGCGGCGGGGGTGGTGACGGCCTTGACAGCGCCGCCGGCGGCGCGTGGGGCTTGCGCGGGGCTGCTGACGGCGCGCGGCTGCTGCTCGTCTCGCTGCCCGGCTCTCGGGCGATCGCACAGCTCTCGCTCCGCGCCGACGGCAGCCAGGGCCTCCGCCCGGTGATGAGCCAATGCATGGCTGGACCAACTCGCTCCTGGTTAGCTAATCAGGCAGCCAGAGCTTCAGCCTGCGCCCGCCGCTGCAGCGCTCCGCCGCCCGCGCCACACTGTTCGGCGGCGGCCACGATACGTCCGGCTCCTCTTCCCCCGCCGCCGCCGCCGCCGCCGCGCCGCGTGGCGCCACCAGCCATGCGGCGTTCGGACCGTCGGTCGTGCCGCTGGTGTGTGAAGTCAGCCGGCGGGCCGACGGCTCGAGGGCGGCGACCCTCCGCCTGATTGACTAATCACTGACTCGAATTCATTCCTTAGGCGGGCCGACGGCTCGAGGGCGGCGACCCTCCGCCTGATTGACTAATCACTGACTCGAATTCATTCCTTAGGCGGGCCGACGGCTCGAGGGCGGCGACCCTCCGCCTGATTGACTAATCACTGACTCGAATTCATTCCTTAGGCGGGCCGACGGCTCGAGGGTGGCGACCCTCCGCCTGATTGACTAATCACTGACTCGAATTCATTCCTTAGGCGGGCCGACGGCTCGAGGGTGGCGACCCTCCGCCTGATTGACTAATCACTGACTCGAATTCATTCCTTAGGCGGGCCGACGGCTCGAGGGTGGCGACCCTCCGCCTGATTGACTACTCACTGACTCGAATTCATTCCTTAGGCGGGCCGACGGCTCGAGGGTGGCGACCCTCCGCCTGATTGACTACTCACTGACTCGAATTCATTCCTTAGGCGGGCCGACGGCTCGAGGGTGGCGACCCTCCGCCTGATTGACTAATCACTGACTCGAATTCATTCCTTAGGCGGGCCGACGGCTCGAGGGTGGCGACCCTCCGTTCGTCGGTTCGGCTCCGCAACGGCTGTGCCGCGCCGCTCACCGTGGCGTTCTGCCAGGCCGCGCCGCAGGACGAGCAGCCTACTGAACTGAGCCATCATTACCTAGTTCTCAGTTCGTTGATTAGGCCGCGCCGCAGGACGAGCAGCCGCCGCGGCCCGTGCGCGTCGTAAGACACTACGGCGCGACCCGCAGGGGGGCACCAGGCCGCGCCTGAGCCATCAGTTAGTGCCTCATTAATGACTAGTCAGGCGCGACTCGCGTCACGGGGTACCAGGCCGCGCCCCGGCCGCAGAGCGCGCCGCTCGTGCTTCACGAGGGGACCCTCCCTCCTATGGGCGAGCTAGCTAATAACGCTAGTTAGTTAGTTAGCTGCTAATTCGTTCATGAGTGCTGCACGACCCTCCCTCCTCTGGGCGAGCTAGCTAGTAACGCTAGTTAGTTAGCTGTTAGCTCGTTCATGAGTGCTGCACGACCCTCCCTCCTCTGGGCGAGCTAGCTAATAACGCTAGTTAGTTAGTTAGCTGCTAATTCGTTCATGAGTGCTGCACGACCCTCCCTCCTCTGGGCGAGCTAGCTAGTAACGCTAGTTAGTTAGCTGCTAATTCGTTCATGAGTGCTGCACGACCCTCCCTCCTATGGGCGAGCTAGCTAGTAACGCTAGTTAGTTAGCTGTTAGCTCGTTCATGAGTGCTGCACGACCCTCCCTCCTATGGGCGAGCTAGCTAGTAACGCTAGTTAGTTAGTTAGCTGCTAATTCGTTCATGAGTGCTGCACGACCCTCCCTCCTATGGGCGAGCTAGCTAGTAACGCTAGTTAGTTAGCTGCTAATTCGTTCATGAGTGCTGCACGACCCTCCCTCCTATGGGCGAGCTAGCTAGTAACGCTAGTTAGTTAGCTGTTAGCTCGTTCATGAGTGCTGCACGACCCTCCCTCCTATGGGCGAGCTAGCTAGTAACGCTAGTTAGTTAGTTAGCTGCTAATTCGTTCATGAGTGCTGCACGACCCTCCCTCCTATGGGCGAGCTAGCTAGTAACGCTAGTTAGTTAGTTAGCTGCTAATTCGTTCATGAGTGCTGCACGACCCTCCCTCCTCTGGGCGAGGACGGGGCGCCGGCGTGGGCTGGTCAATGAGCAAATTAACGACTCCAACGCATGACTTAATCAGGCGAGCTCGAGGTGCCCGCGTGGGCTATCCGTCCGGGAAGCTACGCTCTCTTCCGGCGGCACGGAGGCGGAGGCGGCGGCGGAGGCGGCGGAGGAGGTGCGGCGGCGGAGGCGGCGGCGGAGACGGCGGCGGGGAGGGGCGGGCGGCGCTGGTGCGGGCCTCTACCCCTTTGGTCAGAGGGGGCGGGCGGCTCGCTCGCGGGCGGCGCGTCCTTTGAGGGGGGGGGCGCGGGCGGCAGCTCGGCTGCCCGCGCCGGCGGCGGCGTGCCGTCGCGCGGGCCGTCGCGAGGGGTGCCTCGAGATACAGCCGAGATACAGCCGAGATACAGCCTCCACGAGGGGTGCCGCGAGAGCGTGGCCCTACCCCTACCTCTACCCCTACCCCTACCCTTACCCCTACCCCTACCCCTACCCCTCTACCCCACCCCTGTCCCTACCCCTACCCCTACCCCTCTACCCCACCCCTGCCCCTAAGGCGCCGCGAGAGCTCGGCCCTCTCCGGCTGCGGCGGGACTGCCTCCCCCTGGCGGTGGCGGGCGGCGGCGGCTACGCGGAGGACGTGCGCTGGACGGTCTCGTGGGGCCCGCGGCTGGTGGACAAGCTGCCGGACGACCTGTGAGCAGCGCCTCTTCACACCGCCTTGCTGTGAACAGGCCCGCGGCTGGTGGACAAGCTGCCGGACGACCTGTGAGCAGCGCCTCTTCACACCGCCTTGCTGTGAACAGGCCCGCGGCTGGTGAACAAGCTGCCCGTCGACCTTTGGGTGTGGGCCCCGCCGCGCTGCAGCAGAGACGGCAGCGATCTGCCGCCTGAGCCGCCGTCTGCGCCAGCAGCGGCGGGGACGGCCGCCGCTGCGGCGATCGCGCGGCTGCGGCCCGGCGAGTCGGTCGAGCTGCAGCCAAGCTACGAGCACGACGGGGCGGGCGGCGGCGAGGCGGCGGAGGCGGCCCACGTCTGGGTCCGGATCGCCCCAATTAAATTCTGTATAACCAGCGGTATTTGATAAAATAGGCGGCCCACGTCTGGGTCCGGATCGCCGCGGCAGGCGTGGGGCTGGTCGAGCCGGCGCACACCCACCCCTTCGTCCGCCACGCGCCCTCTCGTCCCGAGTCAGGCATGTGGGGCTGGTCGAGCCGGCTCACGCTCCGTCGAGCCGCGGAGGAGCCGGCCTCGTACTACGCCGCCGCGGCTGTCTGGGGCGGCGACGGCTGGCGGCTCTTTTGCAGCACACAGCGCGCCGGGGGGGGGCGCGGGGGCGGCGGCGGCGCGCCGGGCGTGGTCGGCGGAGGCAGCGGCTTGCACGTGTCGCTCGGAGGCGGCTGCGGCGCGCGGCTAATTAATTAAGTCCGTTCGATACCGCTAATTATAATGAATTCAATCTAGGCGGCTGCAGCGCGCGGCTGCGGCTCGAGGCAGACGGCGACGGAGACGGCGACGGGCGCGAGGCGGCGGCCGGACGGTCGGGCTGCGGAGGACGCCTCGGAGGCTCATGAAGGGAGGGTTCCTCACCCCTGGAGACGATTCGTTGATTAGGTCGGCGGCGGAGGACGACTCGGAGGCGAGCGGCGCGCGGCTGGTCGTGTGGGCGCCTTACTGGCTCGTCAACGAGACGGGCCTCCCACTCTTGTGAACGGCGTCTCTTCACACCTCGAGCTGTGAACAGGCTCGTCAACAAGACGGGCCTCCGACTCGGCTACCACCTGCAGCGGTCGCGCGTCCAGATCGACGAGCCGAGCGTCGGCACCTTCGACACGGGGCAGCGCCACTCGCTCCCCCATATCTCCCCATATCTCCCCATATCTCGCGTGCACAGGCACCTTCGACACGGGGCAGCGCCACTCGCTCCCCACGCCGGCGGCTGAGATGACACCGCGCGCCTCGAACCCGTCCGAGGGGCGGCGGCGCGGCTCGGCCGCTGCTGCCGGGCCCACGCCGCCGCCGCCGCCACCGCAGCCGCCGCAGGTGCCGCTGCTGCCCGATGCGGTGCCCTCTAGCTGTGGACAGCGTCTCTTCACAGCTCTAGCTGTGAACAGGTGCCGCTGCTGCTCGATGTGGACGCGAGCGAGCGGCTGGTGCTGCAGGTGCGGCCGTATGGCCACCAGCCGCACGTTGGCGGGCGTGCCGCGGCCATCCGCGCGCCGGCGATCCGCGGCTTGCTCGGCGGGGGCGGGGCGCGCGCCGTGCCAGGCAGCGGCTCCAAGTCGCATTGGCCGTTTGGGAGGAGCGACGCGCGGCGGCTCGCAGTCACCGGTCTGAGTGGAGGAGCCTTCACCGCATGCCTGCATCTCAACCGTCAGGAGCGACGACCCGCGCCTCGCCCGCGGCTGCTCCGCCGCCGTCTCGCTCGACGCCCTGGGCGCCGCCGACGAGATCAGCTTTGAGGGCGGCGGAGTGCTCGGCGTGTCGATCGAGCCCGGCCCGCCCGGCTTCGAGCTCCTCTCGTCGTCCGTCGCCGTCTGCCCGCGCTTCGTGGTGATCAATCGGCTGCCAGAGTCGCTGCAGCTGCGGGCCGAGGTGCTGCCCGCGCGTGGGGACGTCGAGCTGCCTGCCGCCGCGCCGCCGCACGTGGAGCTGGCGGCAGGCTCGCGCACCGACGTGTACTGCTTCGAGGTGCTCGAGCCGAAGGCAGGCGAGGCGCACGGCGAGGCCACGCCAGCACGAGGCTCCCCCGCTGCGGGCGGAGAAGGCGGCGGACGCGGCGGCGGCGGTGGCGGCGGCGGAGGAGGCGGCGGTGGAAACGGCGGAGGCGGCGGCGGCGGCGGCGGCGGCGGCGGCGGCGGCGGCGGTGCGGGCGGCGGCGCGGGCGGCGGCGCGGGCGCGGGCAGCGGTGTGCGCGTGCTTCGCTTCCGGCTGGCGCGCGCGGGCTGGGCGTGGGGGCCCGCGGTACACGCGGACGCATCGGCGGACACCTTCTTCCACCTTCCGTCGCCCGTCGCCGCGCCGACCGGCACGGCGCCGCGAGAGGGCGGCGGCGCCGACGCGGCGCTCCGAGACGCGTCCGAGCCGCTCGTGCGAGCGTCGGTGGTGGCCAAGGGGTGCACCATCTTCATCGCGCTCTGCGAGTCGTCCCACGCGCCGCCGTACTCGGTCGAGAACCGCTGCGCCCGCGTCTCGCTCCAGCTGCGCCAGGCGGGCCCCGTCTATATCTCGGCTGCATCTCGGCTGTATCTCGGCTACACCTCGCTCCAGCTGCGCCAGGCGGGCCCCGTCTATATCTCGGCTGCATCTCGGCTGTATCTCGGCTACACCTCGCTCCAGCTGCGCCAGGCGGGCCCCGTCGATATCTCGGCTGCATCTCGGCTGTATCTCGGCTACACCTCGCTCCAGCTGCGCCAGGCGGGCCCCGTCTATCTCTCGGCTGCATCTCGGCTGTATCTCGGCTACACCTCGCTCCAGCTGCGCCAGGCGGGCCCCGTCCATATCTCGGCTGCATCTCGGCTGTATCTCGGCTACACCTCGCTCCAGCTGCGCCAGGCGGGCCCCGTCTATCTCTCGGCTGCATCTCGGCTGTATCTCGGCTACACCTCGCTCCAGCTGCGCCAGGCGGGCCCCGTCTATCTCTCGGCTGCATCTCGGCTGTATCTCGGCTACACCTCGCTCCAGCTGCGCCAGGCGGGCCCCGTCTATATCTCGGCTGCATCTCGGCTGTATCTCGGCTACACCTCGCTCCAGCTGCGCCAGGCGGGCCCCGTCTATATCTCGGCTGCATCTCGGCTGTATCTCGGCTACACCTCGCTCCAGCTGCGCCAGGCGGGTCCCGTCTATATCTCGGCTGCATCTCGGCTGTATCTCGGCTACACCTCGCTCCAGCTGCGCCAGGCGGGCCCCGTCTATCTCTCGGCTGCATCTCGGCTGTATCTCGGCTACACCTCGCTCCAGCTGCGCCAGGCGGGCCCCGTCTATATCTCGGCTGCATCTCGGCTGTATCTCGGCTACACCTCGCTCCAGCTGCGCCAGGCGGGCCCCGTCTATATCTCGGCTGCATCTCGGCTGTATCTCGGCTACACCTCGCTCCAGCTGCGCCAGGCGGGCCCCGTCTATCTCTCGGCTGCATCTCGGCTGTATCTCGGCTACACCTCGCTCCAGCTGCGCCAGGCGGGCCCCGTCTATATCTCGGCTGCATCTCGGCTGTATCTCGGCTACACCTCGCTCCAGCTGCGCCAGGCGGGCCCCGTCTATATCTCGGCTGCATCTCGGCTGTATCTCGGCTACACCTCGCTCCAGCTGCGCCAGGCGGGCCCCGTCTATATCTCGGCTGCATCTCGGCTGTATCTCGGCTACACCTCGCTCCAGCTGCGCCAGGCGGGCCCCGTCTATATCTCGGCTGCATCTCGGCTGTATCTCGGCTACACCTCGCTCCAGCTGCGCCAGGCGGGCCCCGTCTATATCTCGGCTGCATCTCGGCTGTATCTCGGCTACACCTCGCTCCAGCTGCGCCAGGCGGGCCCCGTCTATATCTCGGCTGCATCTCGGCTGTATCTCGGCTACACCTCGCTCCAGCTGCGCCAGGCGGGCCCCGTCTATATCTCGGCTGCATCTCGGCTGTATCTCGGCTACACCTCGCTCCAGCTGCGCCAGGCGGGCCCCGTCGATATCTCGGCTGCATCTCGGCTGTATCTCGGCTACACCTCGCTCCAGCTGCGCCAGGCGGGCCCCGTCTATATCTCGGCTGCATCTCGGCTGTATCTCGGCTACACCTCGCTCCAGCTGCGCCAGGCGGGCCCCGTCTATATCTCGGCTGCATCTCGGCTGTATCTCGGCTACACCTCGCTCCAGCTGCGCCAGGCGGGCCCCGTCTATATCTCGCGCTGCAGTACTCGGTCGAGAACCGCTGCGCTCGCGTCTCGCTCCAGCTGCGCCAGGCGGGCCCCGTCTATCTCTCGGCTGCATCTCGGCTGTATCTCGGCTACACCTCGCTCCAGCTGCGCCAGGCGGGCCCCGTCTATATCTCGGCTGCATCTCGGCTGTATCTCGGCTACACCTCGCTCCAGCTGCGCCAGGCGGGCCCCGTCTATATCTCGGCTGCATCTCGGCTGTATCTCGGCTACACCTCGCTCCAGCTGCGCCAGGCGGGCCCCGTCTATATCTCGGCTGCATCTCGGCTGTATCTCGGCTACACCTCGCTCCAGCTGCGCCAGGCGGGCCCCGTCTATATCTCGGCTGCATCTCGGCTGTATCTCGGCTACACCTCGCTCCAGCTGCGCCAGGCGGGCCCCGTCTATATCTCGGCTGCATCTCGGCTGTATCTCGGCTACACCTCGCTCCAGCTGCGCCAGGCGGGCCCCGTCTATCTCTCGGCTGCATCTCGGCTGTATCTCGGCTACACCTCGCTCCAGCTGCGCCAGGCGGGCCCCGTCTATCTCTCGGCTGCATCTCGGCTGTATCTCGGCTACACCTCGCTCCAGCTGCGCCAGGCGGGCCCCGTCTATATCTCGGCTGCATCTCGGCTGTATCTCGGCTACACCTCGCTCCAGCTGCGCCAGGCGGGCCCCGTCTATATCTCGGCTGCATCTCGGCTGTATCTCGGCTACACCTCGCTCCAGCTGCGCCAGGCGGGCCCCGTCTATCTCTCGGCTGCATCTCGGCTGTATCTCGGCTACACCTCGCTCCAGCTGCGCCAGGCGGGCCCCGTCTATATCTCGGCTGCATCTCGGCTGTATCTCGGCTACACCTCGCTCCAGCTGCGCCAGGCGGGCCCCGTCTATCTCTCGGCTGCATCTCGGCTGTATCTCGGCTACACCTCGCTCCAGCTGCGCCAGGCGGGCCCCGTCGCGTCGTCGCTGGTTGAGCTCGTCGCTCCGATGACGTGGGTCAACAAGGCGGGTTCATTAGTTCATTAGTTAATTCGTTCATTCGTTCATTCGTTAATTCGTTCATTCGTTAATTCGTTATTAGTTCATTCGTTAATTCGTTAATTCGTTCATTCGTTCATTAGTTCATTCGTTCATTAACACGCTGTCGTGGGTCAACAAGGCGGGGCCCGCGCCGAGGGGCGGGGTGGCGCCGCCCGCCTCCGCCCCCTTCTGCCTGCTCGTGCGCGTGCACCGGCCGCACGCGCCCGCAAACAGCCGCGGCGGCTGGCGGGAGTACCAGCCGCCCCTCCAGCGAGGCGGGAGCTGTGGGCAGCGTCTCTCCACACCCGCCCGCTGTGAGCAGGCACGCTGACACGCTCCGGGACACTTCCGAGACACGTCCCCGACACCTCCTTGTTCACGCCGCCCGCCGTGCGCAGGTACCCCCTCGCCGACATCAAGGAGCTGCCCTCCCTCGAGCTGCCGGGCGGCCGCAAGCTGTACGTGGCGGTCCGGCAGCACGGCTCGACACGCGCACTCGTTGTGGCGGAGGACCCGCCGCTCCGCCGGCCCCGCCGCGGGCACGGCATGCGGGCGTGGCTCGACAAGACCTTCTCGCGCCTCGGACTCGTGGGCCTCGCCGCGCCGCTCGGCGGCGCGTCGCGGCTGCAGCTGCAGCTCTGTCTGTCTGCCGTCTCGGTCTCGCTAGTCGAGTCGGGTCCGAAGGGGACGCCGCGCGAGCTGCTCGGCGCCGCGCTGCGCGGAGTCAGCCTGCGAGCTCGCCCGCCTGGGAGCTGTGAGCGGCGACTCTTCACACCTGCAGCCGTGAACAGGTCCGCCTGCGGCTCGCTCCGTCGGCCGAGGGGCTCGACACGCGTGTGTCGGTCGACTTGCTGCAGGTGGACAACCTGCTGCAGCACGCGCGCCACGGCGTCCTGCTGCGCGCGGGCCCGCCCCCCGCCGGCGAGCCCGCCGAGGGGGGGGCGGAGGACGGCGCGGGCGACGACGGCGCGGGCGACGACGGCGCGGGCTGCCGCGCGTTTGTTCTGCACGCGGTGCGGCGCGGCAATGAGTACGAGAGGCTCGTGCTGCAGCTCGCGCCGCTCACGCTCGCTCTCGAGGCGACGGTGCTAGCCCGCCTCGCCGTCATCGTCCCGCGATCGCGCCAGGGGCAGGCCGGCGGTGGGGACGGCGGAGAGAGCGGTGGCGCGCACGGCGCGCGGCTGCTGGTGCAGCGGCTCTCGGCGACGCTTGAGGAGCCTCCCGACTGGTCGCGCCGGCGGCCAATCTACATCGAGTCGCTGCTGATCGGCCAGATCGACCTGACCATCTCGAGCGCGCTCGAGGTCGAGCGATCTCATTCAGCCGACCTCCTCGAGATTCCTTTAGTCTGACTGTCTCGAGCGCGCTCTAGGTCCAGCGCGACGACGCGCCCCGCCAGCCTGCGGGCGAGGCCGCGCGCGGCGGAGGGCTGCTTTCGGTCGGCGGCGGCGGCGCGCCGTCGGATTGGATGGCGGCGGCGAGCGCGGTGCCGCTGCTCGCTCACGCACTCCAATCGATGGTGTGAACAGCGTCTCTTCACACCTCTAGCTGTGAACAGGTGCCGCTGCTCGCTCACGCGCTCCAGTCGATGGTGGTCCTCGCCAAGGGCATCGGGCTCAACTTCGCCTCGGTCTCGGGCGTGCCGCTCTCCTTCGCCACGACGAGCCAGCAGCGCGTCTTCTACACGCCCTCCGAGCTGCTCTACCGGCTGCGGCAGACCTTCACGCGCCAGCTCTACCCGCAGCTCGGGAAGGCGGTGGGGCACTCGCAGATGCTGGGGGACCCGCTCGGCGCCCTCTCGACGCTCGGATCGGGCCTCAAGGGGTGCGCCACCTCCGTCGCCCTCGGCATCGCACACCGCGACGGCAAGCACTTGCTCACCGGAGGCCGCTAGTGTGACCAGCGTCTCTTCACACCTCTAGCTGTGAACAGGCGAGCACTTGCTCACCGGAGGCCGCTAGTGTGAACAGCGTCTCTTCACACCTCTAGCTGTGAACAGGTGAGCACTTGCTCACCGGAGGCCGCTAGTGTGAACAGCGTCTCTTCACACCTCTAGCTGTGAACAGGTGAGCACTTGCTCACCGGAGGCCGCTACCTGCTCGGCGGCGTCGGCGGGTTTCTGTTCGGCCCGCTGCGCCACATCGCGGCTTCGCTCAACTCGGTGGTGGGCCGGATGAACCGGCCGGACGACCCCCTCCTCGACGGCAGCCCGAACGCGCAGCCCGGCCGGCGGAGGGACGGCTCGATCCGCGTGCCGCGCGGCAAGGACGCGCTGCGCACGTTCGGCTCCGGCTTCAGCGGCATCGTGTTGAAGCCGGTCGAGGGCCTGCACAAGGACGGCGCGCTCGGCGCCGCCAAGGGCGTCGCCGAAGGCCTGGGCGGCTGCGTCGTCAACAGCGCCGTCTCGGCGCCGCTGCAGTTCGCCGCGTGGCTGTCGTCGGGCGCCGAGCAGTACGCGATGCGCCAGATGCCGCGGCTGGCCGGCTCGGTGCTGCCTCCGCTCCGGCCGGCGCGAGAGTACCCGAGAGTACTCGAGAGTCCCCGAGATTGCAGCTGCTGCCTCCGCTCCGGCCGGCGCTCCATCCGCGAAAAGTGCGATGATGCGGCTCGAGCCGCGAGAGTGCTAACCTTGGGTCGTTGGTGGGTGGGGAAGGCGCGATCCTTCTTCGGCACGGCGCGGCTCCTCCCTCTCTCGCGCTGCATGATGGCCTCCTTCGAGGCGCCGCCCGCCACCCAGCCTCCCACGTTGCGTCTGTTCTCGATCGGCGCCTTCCGAGCGGTCAACGGACCGATGCGCCAGCTCAAGATGACTAACTACCGCAAAGGAGAGGATGGACGCCCTCTCCCCCTCGAGCCTCCCCAGCTGGTGTCGCCGCATCCGCTGCCGGTGACCCCTTTATGACTACCGTAGCTGGTTCTGAGTCGGCTCTCGTGTCTCCTCGCACTTCATACCTTTGTAC